ACTGAAGACATAAGAGAATATTTTAACCGAAAAGGTCAGTGCTTACAAGTTAACAAATTAATAATTTAAAGTTGTCTGTGGGATAGAAGTTTGACCCTGTGATATGTGTGTCCTGTAATTATGTGCTCACACACTGGTTTTCAGACACTGAGGGCTGTGCACCCCTGAAACTTCCCTTGGTGTGACGTGGACACACGGTCCATACATTATGCACCTCTCATTATTAGTCGCCTTTTTCATTTTCTCCTCTTTGCTCCTGCTCCACTCAATTAGCAGGCTGTGACTGAACAACATTTAACAGTGAGCAAGAAGCCTCAAGTAAAAGGAAATTTGCCTTTAGAAAAGAAAAATGGGAAGAGAACCAGAGCATCTAATGAGAGAGATGCATAAATAGGTCAGGATTTTATTGAATCACAAAGGAACATCCAGGACACTGGTATTTTCTTCTCTAGATTCATGACCAGGATAGCAAAGCGGTGTCAAACATCAGAGGACATTGGGATGCCTCCTGTAATAAGCAGCTGGGACCTTTTTGAGGAGTCAGGTAGGGCTAAGCTGCCAGATAATTAGTGAAAGAACTGTTTTATTACCATCAACCACTGCTGCTGGTACCAAACTGAAAATTAAAAAAGCATTAGCTAGTCACTGTTTTCATTTCACTTTAGCAAGCCTGAAGGATAAAGTAAAAATCAGATCAGAGCACTCCAAGAAGGACAAGATTCACTACTCAATGTACAGGTTCTCCAGACTTACTGAGCTGGGATCAGACCAGCACTGTGACTTTTCTAGCAATAAACATTTTCAAGAAAGGAACTGGGGAAAAAAAAAAAAAGGTAACTTTTATTCTCCCCCATCTCATTCTTTCCATTCTTTCTCTTTTTAAGTCTATTTTTCCTCTTTTCATGTTGCTACTGAAAAAGGAAGAAAGAAGGAAAAGCAAACACAAAGGGAATAAAGCAAAAATTAAACTCTATTCCTGCACTTGGGAACAAAACAACACTCTGTGGCTTTAAACAGCAATTTTCATTCAGTGAGGAACTGAATTCAATTTTAATCTGGTGAGGACTGAATTTCCTGATTATCTTTCTTGCAGGTATAATGCTTTGCAGCAAGGATTTCAATCAAACAGGAGGGGGAAAAGAGAAGCAGCTCTTTTGTGAGAGCTCCCACAGGCTGCTGGAGAGCCTGCAAAAAGCTGCTCCCCCACCAAAGGGCCTCTGATGGCTCTCACTGCACTTCCCTTTGAGCTCTTGTATCTCCACAGCTCTCCTGAGTGCAGCCCAAAGCACAAAAAAAATAAATAAATTTGTGCCTCCACTTCCACAGCAGAATAAACCCAGAACGTAGTGAAGCCATTGTAAAGCTAACATGAACTCTAACATTATTGAAATAATTTATTTTGTAAAATTAAAATGTATACTTTCTACTTGGGTATTTGCTTTTCAAAAGGAAAAATACATAGCCAAGCTCAGGAGGGAGCACGGCCTGGCCAACACCCACGGCTGGCAGCAGAGTAAACCTGTAAACCCAGAAGCAACATCCTGAATCAGGAGGGGGTTTGACCCCCTCAGCTTGTGCCTTCCAGCTCCATCTTCCCTTGCCTGGAGATGCATCATTCTGCCCTCAATAATGCAGGCAGCAAAAGGAAGGTCAAACGACAACTGCACTGGCCTGAAACCTCACCAAGTGCCTCAAAGCCCCGTGGTGCCCCTGTAAAGCTTCCAACTTTCCTGGAGATCTGACTTCAAGGATGCAGTTTCTAGGAAAAATATCATTTTTTTTATTGCTCATTCAGTAGCAGTAGGAACACCAAGGTGGTATTGATCAGGAAATAATCAGAGCTTTGGGATCTGTTTGAAAGAGGTTTAAGATAAATCTCTAATTATACAGAGCTTAACTCACGAGATTTTAAAAAATACAGAGCTCCCTGTCAGAGGCACTTTGAACCACGTGGTCAAATCAAGCTGCCATTGACAGACACTGAACCTCCAACAGAGATGTTGCCTGAATTCACCTGACCCAAAGACACACCTTTTGGTTGACTTTCTGCCCCTTCTAAGCCACCAATTTGTGGAGGGAGCTGTGACCAGGTGGACTCCAGCCTGCACACCCTTCAGTGAAAATCCCAAATCACGCTGCTGAAAACAACCAGACACCTTTGAGAGGCACAGCAAACCCCAGGGAATGACTCAATGACCCAGCTCACAAGGCAGATATATTCAGTTAATCCTGCTGCTTAACATGACAAACAGCAAACCCTGTGCAGAAGCAGAGAGTTAATCAGTAATTTCTTCAACAGGCTTGAAAAGAACAATCTACTGAGTAAAATGATGCAGCAGCCCAAGAGTTAACGCCAGTTAGGAAAGGATTCAGGGGATACCCTTGGAGGAGTCAGCTTGGTAACTGTAGTGCAAAACCCCAACTGGGTGACAGCCAGCAGTGGAGCCAGTGGACATGTCACTGCTCCCCCACGGGTCATCTACTGGCAAAATATCTTTATGCTCATGAATATGGTGAGATAAAACCCAGGGCAAGCCTCAGGTCTTGACTGTTCCCAGATATTACAGTAGTGGGGAGGAAAAAAAAAATAAAGATCGCTGCTTTGGAAGTGTTTTCTTGACCTGCACTAGCACCTCTCATTTTAATATTTATTTGTCGACTAAGAACCCCTGAAGAGAGAAATCATTCCTTGGGGTGAAAAGAGTTACAAGTAAAATAAATTCTGCATGGTTCTGGGTAGCTGGTGGTTCACCTCTTAAAACCAGAGGGTTTCTGGGGAAGGTCAGGAGGGTTAGCCAAAAAGATCCCCTATGTGAAGAGCTGTGGTGGGGGAAGCAGCCAGCCAGCAGCCGCTGCTGGGCTCCAGCGGGGTCACGGGGGGCTGCGGATCCCCCAGAATGATGGGGGGAATTCATCTAGGGCTGAGAGTACCCCCAAATGGGCGGGGGGGATCACCCAGTGCTGCGGCTCCCCGCGAAAGACCGAGGAGCTCTGCCAGCCCCGCTGCTGCGGCCCCGCGGGCGGCCGAGAGGTGGAGCCACTAATTCGTTATAAATGGTGTTGACCAGAAAAAGAAAAGATTTTTTAAATTTTTTTTTTTAATTTTTTTTTTTAAAAATTTTTTTTTCTTTTTTAGTCTAAAGCCCAAGTACTCCAACAACTTTTGTTTTGTTTTGTTTTGTTTTGTTTTCTGAAAAATGAGCTCACAGCTGAGGTGAAACCTCGACATTTCCTGCACCCAGCGCAGAAATGCACTCCCCCAACTCCAGCAGCCGGGAAGCACAGTGAGGAAATTCGGCTCTCCCACTCCTGCCTTTTGGGCTGACTTTCAGGCTCCAGAGTTTAGAGGAGCACAGAAGCTTTACACGCTCAGACAGCAGATGTAGCAAGCAAGGGGTGCAAACTCACCTCTGGCAGAGGCAATGTTTTGAATTTTAATTTTTTTGGCAGCAAAAAGGACCATGAACTTTTCTAGGCCCAGACCACAAGGCTGCCAGTTCAAAGCCTGGCAGGTAACACCCTACCAAGTTGCCATGTCCTGCCCCAGTCTGCTGGCATGAAAGGCTTAAGGATTTTTAAAAGCACTTGGTGAGTAAGATAAGATGCCCAACACACAGAGCCCTGCTGCCTCTCACTGCTCAGGAACCACTTAAAGGCAAACTGAATGTCTACATCCCTCTGTCCACTCCAAACAAAGCTCTGTGTGTTTGTACACGTACCAGGTGGGGTGTGCAGGTGGTTTTGGGGTGCAGCTGGCAGCAGCTCCATCCTAAAAGTGCCTGGAGCTCGATTGCTGTGATAGCACACAACGTGCTATTGATCCAAGAGATGGGATCTGCAGGTTCACATGGAGGATGAACAAGAAGGACCAGTAAAACACGTGGATTGTGCTGACAGGCAGTCCCCCACTCCCAGTACCTTTCCAGTCAGAGTAGGGAACAAACACAACACCCACCTGCAACACAACACACACCTTCTCAGGGGGGCCCTTTACAGTGATCCACATTAAAAAGAACAATAAAAGACAACACTGTTTAAAGAGCTCTGATGCCACTGATGATGATCACTGACAGTGATCAGCAGCATTTTCACCCTGACCAAGAAGGGTCCAGCCTCAGGGACAAATCAGCAGGAGAGCTGGCAGCTTACACAGGAGCTTCCCTCCTGACCCACTGCTGGGGGTATGCCAAGTCCTGACACTGCAGCATTCACCTTTGCTGGTCTCATTCCCAAGCCTACCAGGCTCTTCCCAATCCTGCAGAGGCTCTGTCTGCTCACGTGCTGAAGTCAGGGATAACTACACTCCGCGCCTTGGCACTGCTCTGCCTGCCTGAGAAATAGCAGGACCCTCCCCAAAATCTCTGTCCTCAATCAGAAAAGCTTTCTCCAGCACCCAGCTCATTCCCTGCCTGCGATGTGACTGAACTCCCCTCGGGCTGGCACAGTCCCTACAGGAGCACAGTGCTTCCAGGGTGGCATGTTTTACAGCACAGCAAGAGCTGGTTGCACGGGGCAGGGCTCCCAGTTCGGTGCCCACTTGGGTTCTTGCCCAGACTCCCTGAAACTGCTGTGTTACAGCAGTGGGAGACTGGCAACTTTAAGATAGTCTCAGCGTGCCAAGCAGATACAGGGATTATTTCTACTTCGTGGCTTCCCAACGCCACGCACACACTCCTTGGAGAAATCCCTTACAGTTGGCTGCTTCCAAACAACCTGTACACATCACTGGCCCCAAAGACGACATATGAGGAAATGCCCTTACAAAACAAATCCTCGCATTTCAGCCCAGCAGAGCTTCCAAGCGCACAGCAAAGCCAAGACAAACACGGCACTGCTGTCGCCTGAAAACGTGCGTGGTTTGAAAATCCCCATTGTTGCTCTATCCCAGCAAATGATTCATCCTCCCCACGGGGTTGTGACTTGCCTCCGCACATTTCGCAAGGCTGCCTGGCTTTATAACAGCGTGGATGCACGGGGTGACTCCCGGCAGATTTCTCAGCTGGCTTGAGAGCGAGGAGGCAGCAGGAGGAGGAGGCTGCAGCTCGTCCCTCGCGCAATGATTTTCCTCCTGCAGCATTTCTTCCTGCTGGCCGTAGACTTAGTGCTCGCCATGACCCTTTCCTGCCTCTTGTACGCCATGGCCTGCATTTCCATCGCCTTCCTGACCTGCTTCGTTATCATCTTCTCCTTCGGCACCGTGGAGAGGCACATTGACGTGAAAGGGAAAGCGGTTGTGGTTCTCGTGTCCAACAGTTCCATTGGGAGGATGTTTGCAAGGAACCTGGATAAAGCAGGTTTCAGGGTGTCTGCTGCACATTGGCCAGCCCGAGAGAAGGGGACAGCTACAGAGGAGTGCTCCTCAAACACGGAGGTGGCCCAGCTCCACATGACTGAAGACGAGTATCAGAAGGCAGTGAAAACCTTCGTAGAAAGCCACTTAGCCCTGAAAGGTAACTTTTATGGCAAACTTGTGGATTGTGCCTACAGCAGAAGTTAAAATGCACAAGATTGTGAGATCCTTGTAGCTCAGCAAATGAGGGAAGCAAGAATGCTTTGGAAAATGGTTATGGCACTCTAACTGCATTGCAGTTTGTTGTGCAAAACAAAAATTTTGCTTTTTCCAGGGGAAAGAGCCTGCTTTGGTGGCTGTGAAAGGCCCCATTAGACCCCAGTCCCTGGAGGAAAGCAAGGTAGGCCAAGGAACGAGGGGGAGAGGGTCCTACCAAGGCACTGAGGGCTGGACTCACCTTGGGAAGAAAACACAGAGATGAACAAGGGGGAGCAAAGACCCAGACGAGGACCTGAGATGAAGGAAAGTGCCTGATTTTAAACCTCTTCTGGATTAAAAATCCTGAATTCCTTCTCGACTTCTTGGCTACTATGGGATTCATAAGAAAGAGTCAGGTCAGAACTTTGGCTGGCAGGTTGGGACAGTCTCTTTGAACCACACTGCCATAATTTCTGTGGGGATATGGGACTGAAAGCAGCCTGCAGAGCTCACATGGGACAGCACAGGACAAGTGTCCTGCTGAGGGGATGGCTGTAGGCACTTCTGCCAGGGAATCTCCCCAGTTCTTTCTCGGTATGACAGGAAGGGTGCCAAAGGACAGGCTGGCTTATGCCCCTGCCGAGTTACCTTTGCTATTCTGGAGTCTCTCTCCCCACAGCCATAATTTTACACCTCTTGGGAGTGACAGAAAATTCAGCCTCAGCCCTCAGGGCTGTCATTTCATTGCCCTCAGGGCTATGGGGTTACAAGAGAAGAGGCCAACCCCTTTCTTCCATCTACCTAAGGGACCTGTGAGCGGCAAAGCTCTCCCTGTTTCCCCATACTGCCTCCTTCCTTCTCCATCCCTCATCTCCTTGCTCTTTCTGTGGTTTCTCCAAGGCTCCCTCTGAGCTCTCCCCAGGGCAGCCTCTCTGACTGCTCACAGAGCTGGGGTCTCTCAGAGCATCCACAGGACAAGCAAGACCCTTTTGTTGCTGCCCAGCACTGAAAGTTTTCTTTGTGCTCCCAGGCCCTGCAGAGGAAGGACATTTTGGAAGTCAGAGCACGCACCACGAAGCCTCTCCCACTGCAGACACCCTTCGGAGAGGCGGTAGGGAACCCCAGCCAACAGCTGCTGCTGGCTGCAGCTGTTCAGGACCCAGTGGCACAGGTTCTCTCACATTGCTTTTGTCTTCAGAAGCTTCCAGCAGACCTGCAGTGCCTGTGATCAGATCCTGTGCAACTCTGCATGGCCCAGGACATAGTCCCCCATCACAGGCAGCCTGCAGGCTCCAGGAACAGGTCCCTGCACACCAGCAGTGAGTTTCAGACTCAATGCTCAGCTGCCTGCACGAGCATTTAGGCTAATTTACCCTAGTAAACTTATTCTGGTAAAACTTGCCTGTGTGGACAAGGCCTAAAAGCTCCCCAAGCTTAGAGGTATCAGCATAATCTTGCTCTGGAAATGAACAACAGAGACTTTCTTAACCAGTAATGATCCATGGGAGCTGGATTTCTGTGCTGTTCTAATTAAATGAGAATCTGGCCCACTGATATCTATCTTTTTTTGCTTTTTGAGTAAGCTTGGTCCCTGTGCTAGTTAAGGGCTTTTGCAGGGCTCATGTTTTCTTGACAGGGGGCTCTATTGTAGGATCCATGAGGTTTTACATTAAGGATCTCCTGCATAATATTCACATCAGAGATGGGGATGTTAAAATGTATTTCCCAAGTGCTGACCCAATTGCATGGCAGATCAAAGCACTATGTCACGAGGGGGAAAAAACAGAGAAAATAGAAAAAGAAAAAAGAAACCTCAGAGTTTTCTCAGATATCTTTGTTAAGAGTTTTGAGTGAGTGCTGGTATTTATTCTGCAAAATTTACTGTAATATTTTTGGCGTGGGTTGGGTGAACGTGAACACTCACCACCAGCCGACTGATAATGAAAAAAATTTAAACCAAATCAAAAGCCTACATTGGTAGATCCTCACATGCAACATGCAGTTTGGTCAGCAGGATCTGCACCAGGGCAGGAGAAGAGATTTTGTGCTGTAGGGACAAGATACAGCAGAACTATTATACAACTTTTATCTCCCTTTAAAAACTTCTCTTATGCTGTTTATGTATATGCAGGTTTTGGTTTCTAAAGAAAGAAACTTCTGTGCTAGTTTTTATGATTTTTTTAATCACTTGTCCCATAGGACATTTTTTATATCTTTTCTAGTGTAAATAAAAAGACACTTGTTCAATATAATCAAAGCTTTTGAAATTCATCCTAAATGCCTTTCAAAGTACCATAATGGAGACAGAATCCCCTAGTCATGGTTCCTTTGAGAAATAAAATACTTATGACAGCTAAAATAATCTATATTTTATTCTAGTACAGGTCCAGAGACCTAAATTTTCAGGAAGCCCAACACCTTTACTTTGCAGTGACACTACAAATGAATAAGGTGCTATTAAGTCTAAAGAGACTGTAACACAAAGATAGAGAGAAATGCAAGTCAGCCCCCTTCCAAATTCACTGTTTGTTTTGTGATAGCTCAGCTTGGGTTACAAAAACCCTTTGATTCTTCTGGCTTTTCACCTTTGGTGCCTTTAGATCATATGTTTAAACTTTCTCTGTGACCAAGAGGTCAAAGAGATAGAGGAAAAAGATGAGAGACAGAGTTTTAATTGCTCACCTCCACTAGCTGAGCTTGTACTGTCAAATATTGCAAGTGCTCTTGGCACCGTGTCCAGGTACTCAGCGATCGAGCTGCTTGAGAAACTGCTGCTCCGTGTTGCTCCTTGGGCAGGTTGCCTGGAAATTCTGGCAATTGCCTCATGATTTTCAGGATTGACTGCAGGGAGGGTGGGGTAGGGCAAGGAGATAAAGATGTGGAGGTGGGCAAGACCCAGCAGAGGGCAACCTGAGCTGACTCAGGAGGAGCTCAGACACACGGAGTGTTGGGCTGACTAATGGCTGTGGCCTCTGCTGTCACAGCGCCTCGGGGTTCACCTGGTCACACACACAAGCACAACAGTCACAGGGCTGAGCAAAACCAGCACTTACCGTGCCGTAGGATCACAGAATTGTTTGGGTTGGGGCCTTAAAAACCACCACGCTGCCATGGGCCAGGGCACCTTCCATTACACCAGGTTGTTCAAAATCCCATCCAGTCTGGCCTTGAACACTTCCAGGGATGGGGCATCCTCTATAAGAGGACATTCCTCTGTAAAGCCTCAGGTTTCTGCATGGAAGAAATCCAAGATCCTCAATGTAAGCAATGCCTCACACAGCCTCCCTCTGTTTGTTCAGATCTCTGCTATGCTGAAGCTGCTTGCAAGAGTCCTGTTGATTTTCATAGGGTCAGGATTTCATTTCTTGTACCTGAATCTCAGACAAGACATGACAACTGCTGGATTCTTTGGTACTTGCCAGCTTCCCTCCGTCCCTATCTGTTAAATAGGAAGGAGTTTCACAAGCACAGAAATAACTGATGCAAATCAATAATGTTAATTCCTAAATAATGTTGAGTCCCATATCTGAAAGGCTCTCTCACCCCACACTTCACCATGGTGTTTCAGACCAGTATCAAGTGCATGTTTCCAAACCTTGTTCTGCAGGCTCCAAAGGACCTGGAGAGAGAGCTCCCTGTGCAGACAGCTAGACCAGTGGGAGATATTGGACTATCATTCTTGGCCATCTGTCCCCATCCCCATGTTGCTGCATGCAAAGCAGCTCTCATAACCTCTCCTTAAGCTAGTCCAGGCAAGATCACCTGATCCTTTGATCGATTTTAACAGGCAAATTTAGTTAATCCATCCTATTGCTTTCTCCTGTGCACCACGGGACACTCCTGCAATCCCTCTGAGCGGAGCTGTGAGGGCAGTGACACCAGCCTGGGCAGGTACAGCTAATCCTGGGCAAGGAAGGGTGTCCACAGCTGCTGGTGCTTGCTCAAGGCTGTGCACTGAGATGTTGGCAGGACTATACAGAGCACTGAGGTATCCAGGCTTCCAGCAGCCCCAGGGCTTCTTGGACAGCCTCCACCTCTTCCAAAGGTCAGGCTGCTTTTGCAGCTCTGTTCTGCAGCAGGTAGCAGGGGTAGATGCTCTCCTGCTGCTTTCCCTTGCCTTGCACATCTCCTTCAGCACCTACCAACTTCAGTTTGCCAAAGAGTTTAGTCCAGGAAGGCACTCTCGTGACAGAGATCCAGAAAGCAAGAACCTACAGTGGGCCTGAAGAGGAGACAGACATTTGAAACGCTCCCTTGTGTGGAGGACACACTGTAGGAACTCTTTTGCTTCTTAAGGATGTCAGTGCAGTCAATCAAATTATTTTATTAGAAAGTAACAAAGACTTTTCCATGCTGAGCTTACCTTAAGATAAAGGCAAGGCCATACAGTCATTCCTAAACTCACAGCACAGGGAAAGTCCAGCTTCCTTCTGGAACAGTATAGCTTAGTGCATGGCACGAGTAAGGAAGAGTCATGTCCTGCCATTCCCACTCACTGCAGAGATGGATTGAACAGCTGCAATAATCATTGACTGCAACAAACTACAGCAGAGTAGGAATGAATAAAGCAAAGGAAATCATACACTCATGCAATTTTAAAGAGCACTGCATTATTTAACTTCATTCAGCTACAACAACTGCAGGCCACCTTGGATAAATCAGGCCGTTTTCCAGGCTGCAAATGACCATGCTCGGAGTTACAAGTCAAATGATTAATTTTTGTAGGTCTGCTTTTGTGCCTTTAATATGGGTTATCCAGAAGTCTTTGAAAACCAGGGTTGTGACTATATTGCCTTCCTGTCTCTTGGGGATTTATCAAAACTAGAGAAGCACTTTGATATAGCAGCACCAGGGCTATGAAACAACCCAGACAGAGAAAGCAGATCTCATTCTGAAATGATAGGCTGGGAGGAGTTATTTGAGATGAAGGGGAGCTTCCCATTAAAAGCTTCCTTTTCAAGATAAGAATCTATGCATCATCTATAGTCTATCTGCCTTTTTCTTCCTCCAGAAGAAAATGCATCAGCACCTGTGGACATTTTATGGGAGGCCAATTTTCACTTCCTTGAAGTGTTTTTGTAATTCTCTTGTTTCAACAGACAACTCCTCTGCCAAGAGCCGAGCGCCCCGGACGTGCACATAGAACCTCATGACTAAACAGTTACACAACCCAGAAAAGCTGCAGCAACACTTCTCCTCCTCCATCCCTGTCCCTCACTCCCTGCCAGCAGGCAGAGCCCATTTGGGTCCAGAACCTCCATCCCCACATGACATTCCTGCTGCCAACTCCTGCAGCTGCCGGAGCGATGGGAAGGC